GCACCCCCCCTCAGGTCTCCATGACTGGCACAGGCCCTATCCCTGCACTTACCCCCCTCTGCTGCTCCTTTACTACCTACTGTCCTCTCAGCAGCCCCCTGAGGACAGAGTGACCAGTGTTCCTCTGCCTCTTGTGCCAGCACCCAACACAGCTGGGGCTCCCTGAGCATCTGCTCAGTGACGTCTGGCACTGCTCGGAGCCCCCAGCTGCTTTGTGGCACCTTGTGAAAGACTGCCAGGGTATACCCTACACCTACACATCAGATGCTGCTCCAGGAAGCCAACCCAGAGCAGCAGAGGAGGGCGCTGACTCCAGGCCCCCCAACAGCACTACCGCTGCCCCGCACATCTTCCACCAGCAGTGCCGAGAAGGACCATGTTGTCCTCCCCCGCAAAGCAAGGAGTCAACAAGAGGGCCCTCCGCTGCCCATCAGTGGCCCCTCAAAGGGGTCTGCTCGGACCACAGGGTCCTTCTCAGCACCTAGAGGGACCCCCAAACAGTCTGCAGCCAGCCCATTGAACAGAAGCTGCCCGCCCCACCTGGGCCCTGCCCACCTTGACGCCCTCCAGCAGTGCCTGGGGGTCCTCGATGCCCTCGGGGACACACTTCTTGTTCTCGGGGAGGGACTCCAGCTTCTCCACCAGGGCCTTCAGGCCTTTCAGCTCAAACTCGGTGAGGTGGGTCCACTTGGCAGGTCCATCTGGGGTGGGCGAGCTGGTGGGCGTCTTGGGGTAGTCTGCCGGTGCCGTGGAGGACTTCCCACTCTCCTGGGACTCGTTAGACAAAGTCCTCTTGAGGAACCGCATGGCGGGGGCCTCCAGGTCCTCGGCAGGGGTGCTAGGGGGTGAGGCGGGACCATCGGCCGGTGGCTTGGGCTCCTTCTCTCCACCATCCTCCTGCTCCTGCTCCTGCTCCTGCTCCTCCTCCTCCGGGGGGTTCTGCTCACAGCACTCCTCATCCATCTCCGGCCAGGAATCCGATGAGAAGCCGTCTATGCTGGGCTTCCTCAGGGCGTCTGTGGGGAGCAGCGGGCACAGACAGACAGAGATAAATACCCCCAATCCCCCTGGAAATCTCCCTCGCTAAAGACCCCTGCCCTCCCCCCACCCCCTCGAGGGATCAAGCTGCTGCTTCCGACCATCACTTCTCTTCTAGAAAGAGGATGTGGCTTTGGGTCAGTGAGACATAGGTTTGAATCCCAGCTCCACTTCTTCCCAGCTGTGTGTACCCAAGCAGGTCACCTCACCTCTCTGGACATATCTGGCTTTTTCAATGTGTAAAAACCAGGACAACCCCCCACCCCCAATTTTTTTTAAGTTAAAAAGGCAACGATTTCTGCCAAAAGCTTGCAGGGAAGAGTTCAAATGAAGAGGCACCGCCGAGTCTCGCTTTGGCCACCCAGCCGTCACCCATGGGCTGCAGGCAGAACTGAGTTCTGCTGGAGTTTTCCAGGTTGAGACTATCTATTGAGATCGCCAGGCCCTTCGTCTGAGGTGCCTCTGATAGGATTCGAACCACCAACAAAGCTTCCCATGACCCACTGTGTACAAACCACCTGTGCCCCACGTCCCCAGGGCTCCTTGGCAGGCAACACACAGCCCAGTAGAGGCGTCTGTCTAGACTCACTCCTGCCCATTTGCTGATAGATTAGAAAAGTCTAGGGTGGCGGCAATGGCAAGGGACCCTAACAAAAGTGTGTGAACATCCCTTAGACAAATACTACAGGAAATGCTCTGCTAGTTCCCGAATATTCAGATTCGAGAACTGGCCCTCTGCTTTCTGACCCCAGGAACGACCCCAGAATCAGGAGCCTCCCCAATGCCGGGATGCTTGGGCCCCACAGGGTCTGGTAGTTCTGCCGTCCCAGCAGCGACGTCACCAGTGTCGGTGTGTCAAGGATGCACTTGCTCTGCCCCACGGGGTTTCCAAGGCTGTAAAGCATGACGGAAGCAGGCTGCCCTCTTTCTCCCCCCAAGCAGCGGCTGGTCGGTTTGAACCTTTGACTTTGGCGGAGTGCTTAATTAGGGAGCCACCAGTTCTCTGTTTCATGATTATGCGCCATCTCTCCTCCTTGGATTAGGCATCTCATCCTCTGACAGAAATGAGACTCCAGAGAACACGGGACACTTCCCAGGAGACAAACCAGCCCTGCCCAGTGCAGACCAGACCCTCGGCAGAAGAGCTTGATCCTCATCACAGGCCCAGTGGGACGCCCCTTAGAGAGACCGAGGAGGGGAAAGCGTACTGCGAGGAAAAGCAAAGAAATGTCTCACGGTGCTGGAGAGCCCAGAGAAGACTGAAGAAAGTGGGCTCCCCTTCCTGTCCCCTACGAGCATGCACAGGTGCCGCAGTATCCACCAGGAAGGGCCCCCCCGCAGTAGCTGTGGGGGAGGAACTGCCTGTTTACAGAGCTCTGGCAGGGGCTCACCCCCAGCTGCAAGACATAACTTCAGGGGAAGAGGGGCTGTCTGTGCAGCCAGATTGTCCCTTTAAGGCACTTAGGCGGGTGCTATAAACCTCTTCTCTCCTTCCCTCTCTCCCTCCTATCCTCTCCCCCCTCTGTCAGGACCACCCACTGCTCATCTTCTGGCCTCCAGCCCAGGTGTCCCTTCCCCTGGCTCCAAGATGGCCTAAGGTTGGGGGCCTGCTCCTAGGTAGGAAAAGCCCACCCCCATGCCAGTGGCCCCAGAGGAATAAAAGTCCAGAATTCCCCCTCATTGGTTCTCCTGTGAGTGACCGCGCCAGGGACCTGCCTACACAGACCAGGACGGCCCCCGGAGTCCATGGGGACTCCCGAGTTCATTCTCCACATTTGGCATTCCCAGTGGGAGTCTGACAAGGAATGCTTCCTCTCCCCGGGATACTAAGATCTCTAGGGTTCTTCCAGGCCCCAGAAATAAAACCAAAATCCCACTGCCATCTAATCCATTCCAACTCATAGTGAGCCTTACACGGGGGTTTCTGAGACTGCAAATCCTTATGGGAACAGACAGCCGCATCTTTCTCCCTCAGAGCGGCTGGCGGGTTTGAACCGGCTGATGATGCGAAACACAGGCTGAGGGCGGGGCGCCCGGGGATCCACTCACCAACCAGCATGGACTCTCTCTGGTGTTCCGGGGTGAGGTAGGATCGCTGAGTCACACAGTGCGCATACCGCTCCAGGACATACCAGCACATCTCATAGTAGAAGGGGTACCGGAATTTGGGCTGCACCTGTAAGCACAGACATAGGTGGGGAAGGGTCAGTGTCCGAGGGAAAGGGGTTTGCAGGAAGTGGGGGGAGAGAAGCCACCAAAGTGTCACTTTCACCAGCCAAGCAGCAAGCGCACAAATGGGGGGTGAGGAGGGAGATGGAATGGGGGCTATGAGGAGGAGGGAAGGAGAGGGAGCTGGAAGGGACCAGGTGCCATTAGCAAGCACGATGAGGAGGAGGAAGAGGCAACGTGAGCAATTCATTTCAATTCGCTGATCGGCAGCCTGCGAGTTCAGGGGGTTGGCTCTGCGCCTGTGTAGCCATAGAAAGTTTCCTGATTCACTGGAGGATGGGAGTCACTGTCTGGCACTGTCTGGTGCCAGCAACGAACAGACTAGGGTGCCTCTTACTTCTAGAACATTCGCCCAGACTGCTGTCCTTCCCTCTCCCTTGAAAAAATCAACCCCCAAACATTACCATTGGCAGAGGCCGGTCCTGCCCGTGGTATCGGGCGGGTGTGACTTTCCATAATCGGGTCGTGGCCTCCAAGCTCCCTCCTGGAGCTGCCACCACACACACACTGGACACTGTTGCTTACATTTCACAAGGGACCCCAAGGTCTATGAGCCCCTCATGTGGCCCGGGACCACCCTAATTCGAAAGGTTGCACACCCCGGGTCTGGGGCAGAGTCTGTGTGGAGAGCAGCCACTCTTGGCATCTCTTACAGGCGAGTCAGTGCAGGGCTGGCGCCCCAGCAGACTGTTGGCAGGGCATGATCTGCAAGAATGAGTGAGGGGAGGAAGATGGAAGGAGGCAGCACCCCCCAGGGCACTGGCAGGGGGAACCTTCCAGAAGCTGCATCCAGAACAAGCCAGGAGGGAGGGAGGGTGGTGGGAGAGAAGATGTGCTCTGCCTCTCGCAGCCCGGGTGCCTTCTCCAGAGGCAACAGAGATGGAACTAGTCCCCACTTTGGCCTACAGGCAGTCCTCCACGGTGGAGGTCAGAGAGCCTCCTCCCCTTCCACACTTCCACACATCTAACCAAACGCACTGCCATCGAGGCCACTCTGACTCATCACGACCGGAAAGGGCGAACTAGACCCGTCCCCTTGTCTCCCGGAGAAACTGGCCCCAAGAAACAAAATGTGCAAGGAACGGACTTACAAACTGCATAACCACTACCTCACCGGGGCTCTCACCTTCTTTAGTCTCTAGAAACTCAGGGAAACAAGATTATGCAACCGTGCCCTTCGCAAAGTCAGCCAACAGGTGGCATTCGACAAGGACAAATGGGGAGTGACAAATGCAGTGTGGTCAAGTTGATGCTACCTCCCAGGGGCCAGAGCAGGACTGCTCCACAAGGCCTTTCTGGCTGCAATCGACGCAAGATCACCAGGCCTTTCTTCCTCAGTGCAGCTGAGTGCCAAGGGCTTGCACCACTCAGGGGACCTTCGACGACGACGTCCACATCAACTCAAGGATCTCCAGCCTCCCTTCGAGCAGCGGTTCTCCACCTATGGGTCGCGACCCCTTTGGGGGCCGAACGACCCTTTCACGGGGACCACCCGATTCATAGCAGTATCAAAATGACAGTGATGAAGTAGCAACGAAAATAATGTTATGGCTGGGGGCGTCACCACATGAGGAGCTGTATGAAAGGGTCGCGGCATGGAGAAGGTGGAGAACTACTGTCTCAGGGAGCCCTTTCCCTGCCTCTCTCGCACTGCCCGCTCACAAGGCAGCACCGATGCCAACCTCTGAGTCCCCAGCCCTCGGCTCCTCATCCACTCTAGGCCCAGCTGACTCAGTTTGCAGCCCAGCAGCCTTTTGCCCATGTTGGCAGTCTCCTTTCCCCCGGCTGTGCCAGGGGCCATTTGCTCTCCCTGCCTCTCGGGGGGATGGTATGCTTGGGGATGGTAGGCAGCCAGGGCATGCTGTGGAGCTTTGCAGGGAGATGCGGGGATGCGGGGAGTCGGGGTCACAGGCTAGTGGTTTCCTTGGCTCCAGCGACTTCCCCAACAGTCCCAGGTCCGTCATTATTCCAAGTCACTGGCTGATGCCCTCCCGAGTTTGACAAGGAGTTGCATCCGGTGGATTCCAGGGGAGTCTCAGTGCTCCCCCGGCTCCAGAGTGATGATTTTGAGCTACATTGCCAATACCGAAAAGAATAAACAGTGAGGCCTCTCCTCAGCCCCTCACGCCCCTCTCCCGACTCTAAAGAATCAGTTGGCAAAACTCTGAAGTTGCTTTTGACTTTCAAAATTGGAGGGGTGGGCACATTACTTTCCAGTGGGTGGGCACCGTGATGCCTGAGAATCAGCTTTGGTTAGGGATAAACAAATGATTTGTTTGGGGCTGTATTGTTGCTGAATCCAAGAAAAACCAGCTGGTTGAAAAAAGATGCCGATAAAGAAAAAAATATATTTTAAGTTGGTTTTTTTTTTTCTCACAAGAGCACCGCAAGAAACTAAATGTACAATGAACGGACTTACAAACAGTTGTCACTGCCCACCCTCCACCTTCACACGGTGCCTGCCACGCGCCTGGGAATGTGAGACACAAGCTGACTCAGCACGGGCCCTGCAGCGAGTGCGGCCCACAGTGACAACATGCTGCCCCCCACCCGCACCCCGCAGCAGCCTCACGACCACTATGACGCTCAGTGTTACTCAGTGGCAGGTGTATGGCCTCCCAGGATGAGGCGGTCACCAGTCTCCGTCCACAATGAAAGGAGACACCCCGCCACCCACACACAGCTCCCCGCCATCCCGGCAGTGTGAGTGCTCTAGCAGAGTGGGGGCCCCACCTCTGAGTAAACCTCTGGGGCTAACTGGGGTTCCCAAAGGCCCCTTTGAGGGGTCTCTGGCCTTTGACCTCATCCTTGCAGGCCGAGTCAGCTTATAGTTGCATGGACCAAAGGAGAGTCTAGAACTCCCAGCAGTGATGTACCAGAGGGTGGGGAGGGCAGGTGAGGGGGTGGGGGGGAGGGCAAAACCCAATGGTAGTGGGGAGGGGAGAAGGAGAATAGATTGCTTGCAATTTCCAAATCCCTCACTGGCTGTGGGGTGTGGGGAAAGTTGAGGGAAAAGATCAACACCAGAGCCTGATTGTTTGGACCCTCCCATCACTTACCAATCTAACTGAAGTTAAAAAAAAAAAAATGGTGAAGGGAGACATCAGTCAGTGTAAGACATGAAAAAAAGAAATTAATAAATTATCAAGGGTTCATGAAGGAGGAAGGGTAAGGCAGGGAGGGGAGAAAATGAGAAGCTGATACCAAGGGCTCAGGTAGAAAGAAAATGTTTTGAAAATGATGGCAACAAATGTACAAATGTACTCGACACAATGAATGAATGGATGGATTGTGATAGGAGTTGTACGAGCCCCCAAAATGATTTTTTTAAAATGTAGTGAGAATCTTTGAGCTGTGATCTTAAAATAGCCAGCCATGCCCAACACATCCATTCTCTGGAGTGGCGCCTCTCCCAGCCCTCATTGCCCCTTTACAGATGGGCACTCCTGTCTGTCCCCGACAAGGGGAAGAAACCAGCCAGCAGGCCCGGGAGATGGACATGCAGTGGTTTCCAGAGCCAGGAGCACGTTCTTGGGGCCCCTGCTCAGAACTGGGGTCCATCTACTGAGCACTGGAAGGGCAGGTTCTTTGTCTGAAACAGGCCAATTCCATGGGGCGTAGAGGATGCTGGCTTCCTCTGACTGCCCCCTCCCTTCCACCCGAGCTGCGTCTTCGGACTCTTGAAATCCTGCTTGAAATGGCTGTGCCCTCCTTGCACAAGTGTGCAGGAGCATGGAGAACTGAGCTGTGGGCGCTGATGGGGCACCCTGACATGTTATCTGTGGTTTCAGTTCTGCTAACCAAGGCTTTTTGTCTGCCAGGGCTCCTTTAACATAAACGCCTGGGTATTGCAGCTGAGCCCCTCTCCAAAGATCAGAAATCAACGCCGATTAAACAGTCTGCCACTGCTTCCCGCCCAGAACCCCCACCCCTCCACCTGCTCTAAGGGAAACCAGATGGGTGTCCACACACAAGGACGACAAGGACGGGCCTTGGGGGAGGGGACTGCGGAAGCTCATCTCAAGGTGGCTCAGGATCCCACGGGCACTCGCCATGATACCTGGGTTCTGCTACAGGCTCCTCATGCCCTGCTCTCTCTGGGGCCCCATCCACCAAGAAGAAAGGTCCTGACTCCTGAGGGATACAGGGAGGTGGCAGCCCAGCTGGCTGCCCTGGGAAATCCCAGCCCACCACAGCTTTCAGGAATTGCCTGGAGAGTCGCAGGTCTGTTCATCCCCTTGGCAATTTCTCCTTTCTGCCTTGTCCTTGCCGGTCAGCTCGCAGATAGATGGGTCTGTTCTCCAGGGCCAGCTGAGGAGCACGTGGCCCCAACCCCACACTGCACATAACCCAAACTGTGATGGTCACTCATGCCCTAAGGATGGGTGCCTTTCTCAGGCACTGAACCTTCCAGGTTGGGGCTAGCTATGGCTGGATCTGGTCTCTCCTGTGGCCTGCATGGGGCCGGAAAGAAAGGCCCAATATCCCTAGGAAACAAGGGCCTTGCAGATGGCCCTGGCTCAGACCCTCGTCCCCAGTCTCCCGGCAGAACCACATGCCAGCACTTCCTGGCCATGGTGTCTAACTGCCGAGCACAGCCTGGGGACCCAAGCTTAGGTGCCTTGGTGCCAGGACTGTTCAATCGGTCAGATACACACACAGGTACACACGTGACTCCACAAAATCCACCCCATGACTGAGATGGCAAGGAAGGCACAGGGCCCCCAGCAAGGTTCCATTCTGTTAACACTAGATGGTGGCCAGGAGTCAGAGCAAACAACACGCAAACCTGAAACAGACACGGAAATGATGGGACTCTGGGCGCCAACCTCCCTGTGGAGTTTCTTTCTGGGCTGGGAATGTCACAACCGCTTTCTGATGCCAAAAGCCCTCACCAAGGCAACGTCCAGGCAAGCCACACACTGGAAAACTATGCTGCCGTGAAAAAGGGCGACACTACCGGTATGTGTACACAAACCTAAAATTATTGGTGGCTACCAGGGCGACCCGGACAGAGTGGGGCAGGGACTCGTTGCTGAAGGTTGCTGAAGGGCCACGGGGCTTCCAAGGGTAATAGAAGAATCTGGACATGGATAGTGGTGCTGACAGAACACTAGGATAAAGGTAATTAAGTCTCTCGAGTGAACACAGGGAACGTTTAAATGGGTAATGTTTTATTGTGTATTGGGGGGCTTCAAAAATCCGTGGAAAAATTCCATTGTCTTTTCACTCCATTTGTCTATGAATTTTTCGGAGCCTCCATATATATACATACCACATTAAAAAAAGATCTAGTGTGGGTATGTGAACCCCCAAAGCAGGATGCTGAGTGAAAGATAAAAGACACAACAAGAAACAGTGAATTATCCCATTTCTATGCAATGTCCGGAACTGGCCCGGAAGAGGGGCCACCAGGGTTTCTTTCAGGGGGATGACAACGGTCCCAGAACTAGATGGTGCTTATGGCTGTACAGCACAGAGTGCGTACTGAAACGCCACAGAATCGGATGCTGTAAAGTGGTGAGATCATGTGAATCAGAGCGGCGATGACTCAGAATAGCCCAGTGGGGATGGCTGCCCAACTCGATTAGTGTCACCAAGGTCAAAGAATTGTCCTGGGGCAAGTCAAGTATCGCTACAGAATCATAGAACCCTCTATGGGAACTCCAAAACCAGATGGGAAGCTTATTGTTGGTCAACAAATCCTCCATGTAGGTCTGGAGTTTCCATCTCTCTAGCCTGTTCTCAGGAATCCTGGTGGTGTAGTGGAGACAAGTTAGGCTGTTAACCACAAGTCAACAGTTCAAAGCCACCACCTCTCCATGAGAGAAAGACAGTTGTTCTATTGCCATCAAGAGTAACAGCCTGGGAACCCCACAGGGGCAGTTCTACTCTGTTTTATAGGGTGGCTGGGAGTCGAAATTGACTTAGTGTTGAGGTTTCATGGGGCACTTCCCCAAATATTTCTGTGCCCTTTGGCTGACACCAGGTTCAAACGGTACTTTTGACATTCTCATGGGACTCAAATCATGTTCCTTTTCAATGTTCCTTGCGTTTGGGGAACAAAAATAAGTCTGGAGGGACAAGATCATGGCAGGAGGTGGGCAGGGTAAGATTTCCCGATGGCAGTCTCTCAGGGACAGCCTGTGCTGCCGTCTCCAACAACAAGCAGATGCACTGTGACGGGAGAAAGTCCTCGGGGCAACTTTCCTGGACCCCCCTCTCACTGATGCCGTTGCCACTTGTCTGAACGTTTCTTCAGAAGCCCCCAGTGATCATCTGGCATCTTTTGAGAAACTGCAAAATTCAGTCCTCGACACCTTCTGAGCTGACCGCTCTGCCTACCAGATTCCCCAACCCTGTTTACTCGGACATCAAGTGAGTTGAAGACAAGCGTATCGTTAAGAGAAGTTGTCTGCAGCAGTTCCAGGTCACAGAGGCCTGTTCAAACATGTTTTGTTTGGAGTAATACCGTGCACAGGTGACCTCGAGCCCTAGGAGCGAGACTTTGTCACTTACCCTCACACGCAGAGAAGTGGCTGAATGGCTGTATGCTTTGCATATATAGCCATCAACAACAGCACCAAACTAAATAAACATTTTTAAGTAGTAAATTCTGTGTTAGGTGCTTGTGTATTCATTTAGAGAAAAGAAAGAGAAATATTTGAAAAGAATTTTTTTAAACAAAAAGAAGAATATGAACTTGCACCCAAACCACAATAACATGTGTGTTTTTTGTTTTTTTTTTTGGGGGGGGGGTTTAAGAATCATTGACTAGAAAAAAGTAGAAGAGAAAGAAATGAGCCTATTTTGCCCCAGGGTCTCCTCCTCCTGGCATCCACTCAATCTCAAATGTCAAGAGTCACAGTGCACAGGAATTGGGGGAGAAACTGGGGGCCCCCGGCTATTCAGAGAAGACTGAAAGGCAGCACCAGGTGGGGATGGGGCATGAGTCTGGGAGGCAGTTGATGTCGTTGTCACAGGAAAAGTGACCCCCAGCCCAAGAAAGCTAGGGACCCACCAAGTGCTCACAGGCACCGCAGGGATGTCCCCTTCACCTTTCAGGGGTGCATGGTCAAGCTCTGACTTGGGCCCAGGTGGCCCGCCACACCCCCTCCAAACACAGTGACCACAACCCCAAAGCCCCTCCCATTCCCCTCTGCACCCGAGGAGAAGACAAGGTGGGGCTCCTGTCCCCCCTGGGGCTTTCTCAGGAGGCACTTCCTCATGGGCCAGGGGGTTTTGGTGGTTGCTGGCTTAGAGGCGAACTGAAACCCCAGGGGACCGAGATGGGGCCCTTTGGGGCATCCCCTGCCAGGCAGGGCTTTAGGCAGGGAGCTCGGGACAGGGAACCTCCTTACCCGAGTTCTGTCCTCAATCTCGTAGATCTGCAGCTGCATGGGCACGTTAAAGCTGTGCAGGATGTTCCCGCCGAAGACCAGCGAGTCTACCGGGGTGTAGACGGCATGGATCCAGCCTAGGGGTAAGGGGAGAGGGGCTGAGAAGGCAGAGACCAACTCCTAGGGTATAGATGGCAGGTACCCAGCCTGGGGGAGCCGGTAGCAGCCAGCGAGTCTACACGTGTGCACGACACTGGATTGAACCTGGGGGAAACAGGGTGAGAGGCTGAGCTGGCAGGGACCAATGAGTCCACAGGGGTCTCGACTGCATGGATCCAGCATGGGGGAGGAGGAGGGAGAGCTGAGCTGGCTGTCTTCCCACCTCACCAGGCTGCAGGGGACACATGGACTGGCAGTGGAAATGCCAATGCTCCACCAGAGGCCATAGTTCGGAAGCCCCACCAGACTAGGCGGGCACGATGGGGTCCCAGGCTAACCCAAGAAGCTGCTGAGAAGCTGCAGACCCCGCTCTTGGCGATCAAGATGGTTCAGACGTCTTCCTGGTACCTGGCTGCAGACACCAACAGGCCTGTGCCCAATGGTGGGAACTGTTAGGACCACACCTCATTCACCTGGCCCCTTCCTAGCCTGTCAGAAGCTTCAGTGTGGCCAGCTTCTGTATCCAATGGACCCTGGTGGGCTCTGGGGGCACACCTGCCTTCTGGTTTACACTGCCATCAAATGAGATTCTCTTACATGCCTCCAGTGACGGGAAGCTCACAACCTCACCAGGAGGTCACTCTAATATCACTGAGTTAAAACTCTGCAGGAAACTGCCCTTGACCTGGCTGACATAAATTCCCATGTGCCGTTGGGCTTCCTCAGTCCTATATGCACACTCATCTATCATGCTATACTTTCTACACCCTGCACTCTGCAGGTTGATTCCCCCTCCAAAGTAGAAGGACCAAGAACAACACAGCTTTCTATTGGTGACCTGATTGTCCCCCAACTCATCCATGACATGGTGGGATCGTCACCTCCCTTGAATTGGATAGAAGGTCCCCATTGATGCAGCCCAAGACCATACTCCCTGGTTTCTAGTCAGCAGCCAGATCAAAGGCCGACTAGGACTGTTGTTTTTGTTGTCAGTTCCGACCCATAGTAACCCCACAAACAACAGAACAAACATTACCCAAGGACCTCTTCATCGTCATCATCATTGTCCTGGTTGAGCCTGTTGTGGCATGTGGTGTGTCAATCCATTCTGTTAAGAGTCTTCTTCTACATTTACCCCTTGCATGACTTTACCAGGCATGATGACCTTCTCCAGCAACTGGTCACTGCTAATGACATGTCCAGTCTGTGAGATGAAGTCTCACCATCTTCAGTTTGAAGGAGCACTCTGGCTACATTTCTCCCAAGACAAAGGTGTTCATTCTTCTGGCGGTCCATGATATAGTTAATATTCTTCACCAACCACCTAGTTAATGCATCAATTCTGTGGCCTTATCCATCATCCAGTTTTTGTGTGTGACTGAGGTGATTGCAAAAACCATGCCTTTGAGTGAGGTACACTTTGACCTTCAACGTGATATCTTTGGTTTTGAACACTCGATCATGATTTTCTTTTAATATTTAAAAATATACTTTTTATTTTGCTTTATTTTAGAACTGAATGATGCTACAAAACCATTCTCTACTAAAGAATATTTAAAAGTCAGACAGTGTAAGATATGACAAAATAACAATAATTTATAAATTATCAAGGGCTTATGAGGGAGGGGGGAGTCGGAAGGGAAAAAATGAGGAGCTGATACTAAGGGCTCAAGCAGAAAGCAAATGTTTTGAGAATGATGGCAACACATGTACAAATGTGCTTGACACAATGGATTTGTAAGTATGGCTTGTGATAAGAGTTGTATGAGCCCCGAACAAAATGATTTTTAAAAAGTTACCTGGATTTACCAAAAAAAGAATAATTAAAAATAAAACAAAGTTTTCAGAAATCCAGCTCTGCAAAATGGCCTGTCAAGCTGCAGAAAAGCAATTCATCTTTTTGGAGCTAAGAGAATTAATGCAAAAAAAAAAGGGGGGGGGGGAATCTGGCGATTTTTATCTAAGGTGTTTTCTTTAACCTTTGAAATAGCACAGGTCTTACTTTATTTCCTTTTCAAATTTTTTAATCGTTTTATTAAATTTTTATTAAAATATCACTTTATTGGAGACTCTTACATCTCGATCTTGATTTTTTTGACTGCTGCTTCCATGAATGTTGATTGTGGATCCGAGTAAAATGAAATCCTTAACAACTTTCATCTTTGCTCCTTGTATCATGATGTTGTTTATTGGTCCTGTTGTGAAGATGTTTGCTTTCTTTAGGTTGAGGTGTAATCCATATTGGGGACTATAGTCTTTGACTTTCGTCAGTGCTTCAAGTCCTCTTCACCTTCAGCTGGTGGAGTTGAGGGTTATGTGTTCGGCTGCTAACCGTAAGGCCAGTAGTTCAAAACCACCAGCCAATCTGTGGGAGAAAAATGAGGCTTTCTACTCCCATAAACAATTACAGTATCAGAAGCTCACAGGGGAAGTTCTCCCCTTTCACAGAAGGTCATCAGTAGTCAGCCTTGAGTTTTTGGTTTTCCCTGTCAGCAAGGAAGATTGTGTCATCGGCATATCAAAGTTCATAAATGAATCTTCCTCCAAACCGGATGTTACTTTCTTCTCCATCCGCTTCTTGAATTATTTGCTCAGCATCCAGACTGACTGTGATGAAAGGGACCCATCCTGACCTGGCCTGATGTAAAACGAAGCATTCCACTGGGTCAGTTCCGACGCTGTGCACAACAGTCCCAAACTGCACCGTCCTGCACCACCCTTGACAACTGTTCCTATGCCGGAGGCCACTGTTGCAGCCACGGTGGCAATCCAACTTGTTGAGAGCCTTTCTCTTTTTTGCTACCCCTCCACTTTACAGTCTCCTAGTCCTGCTTCCATGGCTGTCTCTTAGTCTATGTACAGGTTCCTCAGACACGAGTGAGTGTATAAGGAATTCCCATTCTTCACAATGTCACCTATAATTTTTTATTTTATGGTCATGCACAGTTAAATGCCTTCCTGTAGCCAGTAAAGCACAGATAAATATCTGGTAATCTCCGCTTTCAGTCAAGATCCACTATCATCCACGATCTCTCTCCTTCTGTCTCTTGTCTAGTTTGCATTTCTGGGAGTTCCCTGTCATGGCACTGCTGCAGCCATTTTTACACTATCTTTAGCAAAATCTTATTTGCATGTGAGATTCATCCTACTGTACGGCAATTTCTGTCCTCTGTTGGGTTTCCTTTCTTTCGAACGGGCACGGTCGGGGCTCTCTTCCTGTCAGCGCGGAGGCATAGAGGAGTGCATGTTTCCCTAGTGGCTGCTATTTGTCGAAGGCTTCTCAGTGGTATTTCACCAATTCTAGAGGCTTGCAATTGTTTGATCCAGCTCATTGACTTCGTGATTTCTTCTACTCACTTCATCCACTCTATGTTCAAGAACAAGAGGCAGAGTCTCTCTTGATATCCATTTCCGTCTTCTTTGGCTCTTTTTTTTTTTTTTTTTAGGTATTTCCTTTCTTCTTCTTTTTTTTAATCAGTTATTTATTTATTTATTTTTAAATCATTTTATTAGGGGCTCATACAACTCTTATCACAATCCATACACACATCAATTGTGTAAAGCACATTTGTACATTCATTGCCCTGGCTCTTTTTTTTTTTTAGGAGTATCTCATTTCTGACAGGTATCATGTCTTTGGTATCATTCCATAAAGCATCTGGCTTGGAGCATTCGTGCTCAATGCTTCAAATCTGTTCTTGAGGTGGCCTCTAACTTCAGTGGGATATAATCAAGATTATATTTTGGCTCTCATGGACTTTCTTTAATTTCCTTCAGCTTCAACCTGAACTTGCAATATGAACAATTAGTGGGCAGTTCTACAGTCGGTCACGCGCGGCTTGTTTTGCCTTATGATACTGAGTTTCTCTATCGTCTCTTTGCGCAGATGTAATCGATTTGATTCCCGTGTATTCTCTCCATGTGTTGAGGTCCACATGTATAATCAGCGCCGATTACCCTTTTGAAAAAGAAGCATTTGCAATGAACAAGTCATCAGTCTTGAAAAAATTCTATCACAGAATTTCCGGCATAATTTCTGTCACCAAGGCCATAGTTTCCAACTATTGATCCTTCTTCTTTCTTTCCAACTTTTGCATCTTATCAGTAAAGATCAACACATCTTAACTGCATCATTGATCAATTTCAGATTGTAGACACTGGTAAAAAATGTTTAAGTTCTTCAACTTTGGAATTAGTGCATAAATCTGAATAATAGCTGCATTAACTGGTCTTCCTTGTCAGTGTGCAGATATTATCCTACCACTGACAGCATTGTACTGTAGGATAGCACTTGAAATATTCGTTTTTCCTTTTTATTTTTGCATTAACTATTTTATTGGGGGACTCTTACAGATCTTCTGAAAATCCAAAACATTTTCTTTCTACTTGAGCCCTTGGTATCAGCTCCCCTTTTTTCCCCTCCCCACCCCACTCCCACCCTTGATCAATTATATATCGCTGTTGTTATTTTTGAAATATTCTTTTTGATGATGAATGTGATACCGTTCTTCTTTAATCTGTCATGCTTGATCTATGAGACTATATGCCTATCAGATTCAAAATGGCAATACTAGTCCATGTTGCTCACCGATGCCCAGCATATCAATTTTCATGTGTTCTATTTCATTTTTGACAACTTCCAATTTTCCTAGATTCATAGTTCACTTGTTCCACATTCCAATCATCAGCAAATATCTATAGCTGCTTTTTCTCATGTTGAGTCCTGCCACATCAGCGAATCAAAGCTTGGTTCCACTCTCTTCCTCAGTGGAATGTTGAGTGCTTTCCAACCGGAGGGCGCTCCTCTTCCTGTACTATATCAAACAACGTTCCACTGCTACCCATAAGGTTTGTCACTACCCAATTTTTTCAGAAATAGGACATAAGGTCCTTCTCCTAGCCTGTCTTGGTTTGGAAGCTCTGCTGAAGCCCATCCACCATGAGTTGCCCTGCTGGCCTTGACAGGACTAGTGGCATAGCTTCCAGGATCACAGCAGCACACAAGCCACCACGAAAAGACAAAGTGATAGGCGAGTGGTGGAGTGACCCAGCTTATAACGAAAATCCTTCAGTCCATTTCCAAAGATCTACAGGCAAGTAGATCTTATCTCATCCAGCCCTCCCAACCACATTGTGAAGTCTTACTCCCACTTTACATATGGGGTCACCGAGACACCCAGAGGCTAAGCCTCTTCTCTAAAGTCAGAGCCATATTTCCCCTGAGACTCTAAGATCCTTGCTTTTAGCTTATGCCCTCAGCTATACTGTAGGGTTAAATTTATTTATTTTTCTTTCTTAAATCATTTTATTGGGGGCTCATACAGCTCTTATTACAATACATACATGCATCCACTGCGTCGAGCACATTTGTTGCCATCACCATTTTCAAAACATTTTCCTTCTACTTGAGCCCTTCGTAACAGCTCCTTATTCCCCCCCCCACCCTCCCTCCCTCACGAACCCTTGATAATTTATAGATTATTATTTTCCATGTCTTACACTGACCGATGTTTCCCTTTACCCACTTTTCTGTGTCCATCCCGCTGGGAGGGGGTAATAAGGTAGCTCATTGTAATCGGTTCCCCCTTTCTCCCCCCACCTTCCCCGTCCCCTCCTGGTAAATCTATTTTTTTTGGCATACAGGAACTAACATTGATTCCAATTTCATTTCTTCCTGTTCTGCCAGAAGGAAGCTGGGTTCTGCCCTCTATCACATTCCCCTGAGGCCCTGCCCTCTGCAGGTTTTCAGGACCCCCTAGAAAAAAATCACTTCAGCTCCTTGCCGGTAGTGTCCACCAGAGTTGCCTTTTATACCCTCAGACAAGCCTATCCCCTGTTTGGCAGGCCCCCAGTAATCCTCTCCCACACGATCAGAAGGTTTCCTTGGATGAGAAGGGGGAGAATCCTGGTCTGCTAACCACAAGGTCAGTGGTTCAAATCCCCCAGCATGCTCTAAGTGAGAAAGATGAAGGGATATGTCCCCATAAAGATTTTTCAGCCTCAGAAACTATAAGTTGGAAACAACTCTGGATGGCAGTGGATGTGGGTTTTGGGCTTAAGTAGGAAAGAGGAATCTTAGTGGCACTGTGGGTTAAGCGTTGGGCTGCTAACTGAAAGGTTGGTGGTTCAAACCCACTGGTCTCTCAGCAAGAGAAAGATGAGGCTGTCTGCTCCATAAAGACATACAGCCTCAGGAACAGATATGTAAGGTTGTTATGAGTCCGAATTGACTTGCTGGCTGTGGCTTTAAGGAGGAAGAAGGGATACTGATGGCACCATGAGTTAAGCTTTGGGCCGGTAACTGAAGGGTTAGAGGGTCGAGCCCACCAGCAGCTCCACAGGAGAGAAATGTGGCAGTGTGTTTCCCTCATGATTATTGTCTCAACAACCCTAAGAAGCAGTTCTACTCGTTAACACATAGGGTCGCCTTGAGCCAACTCCATGCCATTATCTTTGAGGAGACTCAGTCAGAAGTGTGCAAAACACTCAGCAGTTTGTCCCTACAGTCTGAGACCTGCCGTTATCAGAGATGGCCTCAGAGATCAGTCTAAGTAGAGCAAACCCAGTGTAGCCCTGTCACTCAGTCTAAATCCTAGGCTAAGGCCACAGGGCCACTGGGCACAGCTTCAAATGCTGGGAGAGCAAGTGGCTGGGCAAGAGCCATCCTCAGACCCACCAGAACCTCCTGGAACCTACCGGAAGGGATGAAAAATGTGTAACCCTGTTTCAGCTCAATTCTTTGGCATCGTTCCACGCGGTCCCCCAGAAAGATGTCGCTCTGTTTGCCTGACAGCACCCACTCTTCATAGAGTGCCAGGTTGTGCAGGGTTGGCGGAATCAGCCAGAAGATCTTTGGAGAAAAAGAAGACCGTCAGCAGAAGACCCAGGCCCAAGTCTTGTATTTCCTCCAGGCCCTGCCCCAGCCCAGGGAAACGGCAGCTGCCTGGGGCAGCGAGGAGGAGGAGGAAATGCATCCACCTGGAGCCCCCCTGCAGATCGAGCTCCAAAGGGTAGTTGTGGGTGGGGCAAGGCAGGGTGGCACAGTCCTTTGGGACCAACCCCTCCTCCCCCAACTTCAGCCTAAAGGGACTCTTCATTCCAGCCAAACCCCCAGGGGGGAAATACTTGCTAGAGTATTCTCTCTCCAGAGACACAGGCTTGTTAGGGGGAAGGGAAGGAGAACCCCCACTACCATCACGGTGATAGCAACCCAGAGGCAGAGCCAGACTGCTCCACAGGGGTTCCCAGGAACAAACAGCTTCATCCGTCTTCCTCTGAGCAGCTGGTGGGCTGGAACAACCAACCTTTTAGCTAACAGCCCAAAGTTTAAGCCACTGTGTCACCAGGGCTCCTTCTCGCTCCTTAAACCAGAAACCAAACTCATCACGGTCACTGAGCCCATTCCAGCTCCTAGCGAGCCCACAGGACAGGGTAGAACTGTGCCCTCAGCTTTCCTAAACAACCTGTCTTTATAGAAGAGGACAACCTCATCTAGCTACCTCAGAGGGGCTGCTGAGTTTGTACTGCCAACCTGGCAGTCAGCAGACCAATGCTTTATCCAGTGTGCCACTAGGACGCCTTGAGGGAAAGCGAGGCAGCAGCGGTTTCAGAAGCTGTAAGATAAGTGGCCTGGTCAATAAGCCCAGGTGGGTGCCCTTTGGAGAAGGAACAAAAACATCTGGAAGCAAGTGGGACGCCTGCGCCTCAGAAAGGCTTCCAATGTGTTCAGCCCAAACCCGTGCCTTGGTGTGGCTGAGCAGGGCAGCACAGACCTCTGGCCCAGCCAGCCCCGCCTAAGCACCCCACCCCCTTCTCTCTTGATGGAAATGTTCTGGGAGACCGCTGGTGCCACTGCTGGGACTGGGCAGAAGGCAGGCTGGGGGCCCCTACAGACCAGATCGGGTGTTGACATCTGGTCCAAAAGGCTCAGACATCGGGCAGGGTCAAGAGGTGACTGGAGGTCACAAAGCTGGTGGGACCTATCTCACCTGGAGGTGTGGGGTACATGGCATCAGGTGGGGGGAATAAGCGGGCGTGGACCCCAAATTGGAGCATCTCTACCAAAACTCACCTTTCCACCACGGAACACATGATACCAGACGGAAGTGCCTCCGAAGTCGATGTGGAAGTCAGTGAAGCAGCCTTTCACGCTCATCAGACAGTACCTGCGGCACAGGGCAGGCCGGGGAACCCGGGTGAGCAGGCCACCCTCGGGGTGTCCAGCCCGCTGCCCTTTATAGAAATGCTGACTCTGGGGAATTTTTTTTTTTTTTAATCCAAATTGAATCGGAGTTCCCCACGGGAAAATCTTCTGTGGTCAGGTGACCAATCTCAACATTAGCCACCTGCACTGAAACTAGGGGCGGGTGTTGTTGTTGGTTTTTTTTTTTTCAGGTCATGGAGAGAGCTGACAACCCAGAGGCAGCTTCATTCTTCCTGGCAGTGGGTTTCCATGCCTACCCTGCCAGCAGCCTAGCCAAACCAGAGAGAAGCATCCTTTCAGTGGCTGTCCCCACCCGACCCCCAGTCACATACCTGCCCTTCTCCCCAGTAGCCAGCCCCCTGGAGTTCAGTTGTCCACCAACTGCATGACTTGTCAATTACAGTAGACACACAGTTCCCCATTCACTTCCTCATTCGCCCGACAAGAGTTTACTGAGAGCAAAGGAGTGGTCTCTTCCCTGGAGGGACAAATAGGAATGCACAAGACCCCCTGGCTCAAGGGTCCCCTCATTGGAATGAAGAAAAGTTAGCCAGCAGCCCAGGGACACTAGCCTGCTCAGTGAGCAAAGTCGTGGGAGCAAGAGACCATCCACGAAAGGCCACATCTTTTAGGACATCATTATGTCAAGAGACCAAAGCACAAAAATAAAAAGGCAGAGTCATGGTGGTCCAGGGGCTGGGGGTGATGGGATGAAATTGGGAGAGGACAGCTGATGGGTCACAGTGGTTCAGGGGGTGCTAAAATTGGGAGTGAATTGCTGATGGGTTATAGGGTTTGTTTGTGGACTCAGGAAAATTGTTCTAAAACTGACTGTGGTGATCGTGGTACACTTCTGTGAGAATGTACTAAATGCCACTGAATTGTGCACCTTAAATAGGTGAATTGCCCACTCTATGAACCATATCTCAATAAGGCTGTTAAAAAAATTTTTTTTAAAGTTCAGGGATGAAGAAAAACAGCACTACTGTGGGGGTGGGAGGTGGGGGCAGGGTGGTAGAGGAGTAGAGGCCAGGGACAGACTCCAGGACCGACAGCCACTGAAACAATGTGGGGATGAAGTCGTGGACTGGAGAACTAATTGGCCGTGTAAACTTTCACCCAAAGCACAATAAAATGTTTAAAAAATAAAAAATAAAAAGAAGAGGGAGAAAGAGGGGCAGACCCTTGGAGTGCTGGGCAGGAGGGGATGAAAGGGAGAGCCTGGGTCTGAGAGGCTGCAGGGAAGCCCGAGAGAGAGCGGTCATAAAATGGGGGAGAGTTCCGTCAAAGCCGCAGCCAGCCTCCCTTCTGAGCCAGCTCACCCTTCTTTGCAGAAACCCACCAGTCCCCTCCCTTCTCCAGGAGTGTGTGTGGGGAGGGAGGGTGCAGCTTAAGGAAGTGGGGGACAGAGCAGGCTTCCAAGTCCAGGCCTGGTAGACATCAGTGGGCACCGCGCTGGTCCCCCTCCCACCCTCCCCCCTTTCCCACGGCCCCGTCCAACCCAGGCACACACCCCCACCACCTCCTTCCCGTGCACCTTGGCACCTCCAGAGGCACGCACACGCAGGCTTACCCACTGACCTCTTTCCCCGAAGCTGCACATTGCTTTTCCACGGTTTGGGGAAGAGGGGAGGGGCGGGGACGGGAAGGGAGGAGCCCGCAGCTGAGAAGGAGGGTGGAGAGGATAAGGGGCGTGAGGTTGAGCTGACTCGGTGCCCCCTCCCGCAGCCGCTTTGGCACCTCACACTCAGGTGCACCCGCGATCGGCAGTATGCAGGCGGCGTGCCCCGCGTCCCTCCTCCGATAGGCTGGAAGGCACCTCGGCCATGTGTCTGCAGGAGGCTGGCAAATCAGGAGGCTAGCCCGCACATCAGAGCGCCGCTGCCTAGCAACCCCATCGGAGGGTGTAGTTGACAGCGCAGGACGCCGCGCAGGAGGGCTGCGGGGCTGGGCGCTCGCTCTCTGCCGACTCCCTGACTCCCCGCTGCACACCCTCCCGCTCCACCGGCTCGTCCGCGTGCCCCTCGACAGGCCTAGGGGAGCCCCTGTTCGCCAATGCATGGGGCGGGGTGCCTCGTATCCCTAACTCACCCACCCTGCACGGGCCACCACGGGCCTCTTCTCTCGAAACGCCACTTCAAAATATTAGCCTCATTTCCCTTGCACCATCGCTCGGTCGGGTATCCTCTCCGTTCTCCGAATCTAACCTTGGTTTCCACCCCCTCCGAGCCCCCGCGGAGCGCGGTCGGAGCGCAAACAATCTGCGCGTGCGGGGTGGAGCCTCCAGACGTGCCTCCGTGGGGCTGGACACCCAACCCAGGACCCCGGACTCGCAGAGACTGGCCCCCGCCGGGCCTGGATCTTGGACTCCAGCTCCGGGGGCGTAACGCGGGGGAAGTGGGGCGTGGGGAGGCCCTGCCCCACCAAACTGCTTTCCCCGCCCTGGCCTCCCCAGGACGCGTGGAAAAGGGGAGCCCCGCGAGCTTCGCCCAGCTTGCGCGCAAAGTTCTCCAAGTTGTGCCCGTGCTTGCTCTGCCCTCGGGGTCACCCTCCAGCGTCCCCCGACGCCCCGCGGGCCTCGAGCCGCCACATTCAGACCCTCCTCCCCAGCGGAGCCGCCCCTCCCTCCCGTTGCCCGGTCCAGGCCCCGGGCCGCTCCTCCCTCGGGGGCCATGACGTGCGCGGGCGGCCCAGGCGGCTGTGACAGGGCGGCTTTGTCCCGGGTCCCCCCCGGGAACGGTCGGCGCTCTCCGGGGCTTTCCCCCTCGGCGCCCGCTCTGGCGTGATGCCTTTGCACTGACCTCTACAGCTTCCTCTTCCCTGGCTCACCGCAGTCACATGGGCGCCCGGCTCGGTGCCACCGCCGCGCTCGCCTCGCCCGGGAGGGCCTGGCGCCGCTTCCGCCTCGAAGCCCCCAGCCCGCAAAGCCGCGCCCCCGCGGCCACCACCCACGCCCCTCTTACGACCCTCACTAAATTGGGTGCTGAGAGCCCCCGAGAGACACCGTTGGGGAGGGTCTCCGCACCCCTAATCCCCGGTTGGCTGGAGAGGAGCGTGGGAGGGGGCGCTGCACCTGCAGCACCAACTTTGGGGCGCGGCTGGGTCTGGGGGCGGGGCGGCTCCACCCAGGCCTTTTCCCTCCAACTTAGCGAAACCGCCAGGCTGCGCAGGCGGCATCCCCTCGGGGCAACGGTCTGGAGGGGGGCCCCGGACACCTCGCGTGCAGCCCACGCTACGGCGGCGAGCGAGCGCCCACACCGCGCACACCCGGGAGACACAAAGGGATGCCGGGCGGGCGGCGACCCGCAGCGAGCTGGGCAGAGGCTGCCCGCCCGGCCCCGCCCGGGCCCGCGGTTACCATCGGAGGCGGCGTGGGCGGCGCGGCTCCTGGGCGTCCCCTCCGGCGGCAGCGGAGGCTCGACGCTCGCACGACCCCTCCACGGCGCTGCCAGGCCCCGGCCGAGGACCGTGGCGCCCTCGTCGCCAGCTTCCTGCCTGCCTCCGAGAGCCGGGCGCAGCCTGCGCGCATCCCCGCGCTGAAACTGAACACCCGCCGGCGCGGCAGCCGCCAGGGAGGCGCAGGGAACCATGCGGGCCAGCGCCAGAGGACGCCGCCGCCCGCACCCCCTCTCTCGCGCTCTGCGGGCGGACGCTTGGGGACGCCCCCGTTTCCTGGCGCCCCTCTGCTGCGGAGGATGACCACCCAACAAAGCCTCCTTAGATGTGCCAATTCAGTGGCAGCGGGAGTCGGGCCGGGGAGGTGTGGGAGGGCTGTGACCATCCCAGGTATGGCCAGCACGGAACAGGCCCTGCTTCCAAGAGGTGTGTGACCATAGGCACCTCAAATTCTGCCTGTTTTGATCAAGGAAGCTTTTACAGCCCATTCACCTAGCACACGCCCTCCCTCCCTCCCTCCACATCTTCACCAGTAGCTGTGAACCCTGCATCAATCCTTGTGGGAATTCACTGAGGAAAGGGTCCTCCAAATGTACAAGAAATCACTTAGCACAGTAATGGATACTCCCTAGGCATAGCCCAGCAACTCGGTCAGTCTGAGTTTAAAGGCTGGGTTTAAAGCCTCAGGATTTTACTCTGCTGGGACAACTAGGTCACTTGGCATAACTTAGTTCTTAACTAGTTTAGTCTGGGGTCATAAAAACTTGCCTTCTAAGATACAACTATTGCTCTCTTCCCACCCACAGCAAAGGGGGGTAAAGGAAGCCAAAGACCAGAGGAAGACATTACTTCACAAGACTGAAAGGCCCACTTAAGTCACAGTGTCTTCTGGTCTGAAATCAAAGGAACTAGATGGTGCCCAGCATTTCAACCTGTGACAAAATGAAGGCCCTGATTAGATTGGGAGGAAAATGTGTAACAAAACTCAAATTCTAAAAACAAAAACAGACTTCCTGGACCGATCCCCGAGACTATCACCCTAAGACACCCTTTTAATTGTAACTGATCCCACCTTACAGCCAAATACTATCATAGCCTTAAAAAAAAAAAAAAAAAAAGCAATACCTCAGAGAAAAACATCCCCCTTTAAGCAATCAACTACACTAGACCAACCAGTTAACATTTACCCAAAAGCAGAGATGAGAAGGGAAGGAGGGGCAAGGGAACTGGAGGGATGGAGAAGGGGCAGGTGGCTAGAAATGGTGAGAGTGGCGCCACATCAAGGGGACTGGGACCAAGGCCATCAAACAATGCATGCATCGTTTTCTGTGAAAACTTTGACCTAAAATATCCAAAATTGCAGAAGTCCCTTGGGGAACAGTGTTAAACTTTGGGACAAGGTTGGCGGTTAGAATCTCCACAGAAGTGCCTCAGAAGAAAGGCCTGGTGCTCTTCCAAAAGGTCACAGCTTTGAAAACCCTATGGAGCAGTTCTACTCTGCATGCCTGGGGTTGCCATGAGTCTGACTTCACAGCAGTTAACCGCAATGAGAGAAACAGACACACA